AGACCAGTGGATTGGCTCTGCAGAGTCACCAATTTGCCGTTCGGGGAGCAGTTGTTGGAGAGTGAATTGGAGCAGCTGGCCAGGGGTGTGTGGATGGGAAAAATAATGAAGACTCCAAGCACAATTCTGAGAGCCGAGGCAGCTGCTAGATGGGAGCCCGGTCAGCAGGCCCCAGCGTGGCCTTCAGCGTGGGGCCAGGCTGAGGCATCAGAGATGGGCTCTTTGAACACAACCCCCACTGACCTTTCCATCTGACACGAAGCTGCCAAGGGCCGGCTCTGTGAACACCCCAGGCAGTCCTCCCCGAGCCCAGCCCCGGACACCTAATTGGGCTAAAAGGGACGGCAGGATACAAGATGACCTTTTCATCCACAAACAGGAAGTCATTTAAACCTTAAAATAGCAGCAGCTTCAGGTAGGGCTGCTGCACTTGACACTGGAAGATGCGGCAGGACGGAGCTCCACGGAGCTGTGGCCGCCGGGCTGTCCTGTGCACGTCTGTCTCTCCCTTCCTCTCTTATTGGTCAGAGCTTCTTTCTTTTTCATTAAAAAAAATATTTTTATTGATTTCAAAAAGAGGAAGGGAGAGGTAGAGAGAGAGAGAGAGAGAGAGAGAGAGAGAGAGAGAGAGAGAGAGAGAGACATCAATGATGAGAAAGAATCACAAATCGGCTGCCTCCTGCACGCCTTTACTGGGGATGGAGCCTGCAACCCAGGCATGTACCCTTGATCAGGATTCGAACCACTGAGCAACACTGGCTGGGTGGCTCTTAGCAAGGAGAGAGATTTCGCCAAGTCCAGATGAGCTGGGAGGTCACATGTGTAAACACAGGTTCTTTTTAGGAAGAGTGAAGGACACAGGAGGAAAAGGAGAGAGTTTACAGAAAACACATTTTCAACATCTTTAAAAAGAATAAAATGTACACTGTTCTCCGGAGTGGCCAGGCGAGGGCGACGGCCAGTGCACAGAGGGGGTGGGGTGGGGACCAAGGGGCAGACGTGCCACCTTATTTGCCGAAACGTCGGAAGGCCGCGGCCTAACATTCCTATCAATCTATTTTTTTCTTTAAAAAGGCAACAAAGCACAGTGGTCCAGGTTTCAAACAGGTCCGCATTGCCAGAACATTTTTTTTTTTTTAATGTTTTAAAAAGTTGGCTTAAAACCTGACTGCATAGAGGTTTTTAAATATCATCTCTTTTCTCATTTCCCAAAGATAAAGTTCTTATTTGTTGGCTTTGGAAAGTGAATCTAATTTTATAGAAAGAGGAGTTTACTGTCTTCAAATACATGCACACTGGGTAAAGTGTTGGAGCCAGCTCGGTGCCAGGCACAGGGGGGAGGGGACGGACAGGAAGAAGGGATGGGAGAGTGGGGGAGGGGGAGGGACAGAAAGCTGGAGGGGGCGTGACCTTGCCCCCTTTCAGGAGGCTGAAGTCCAGGAGGTGAGAGGCAAGGTTGGTGTAAACCAGCCCCAGGGGAATGAGTCTCTGCACACACAGAGGCCTGTAGGATGATGTTGCATTTTCACATCCACAGAGAGGACCTGGACGGCCTCCTGGCCCTGGGTCACGTGCGTGACATCCAGAGGTTGGCAGAGGCTAGACTCTGGAGGAAGGATTCAAATTCAAAACTGCAGGGAATGGGGCGGATGAAGGCTGGAGCCCACTGAGCCCAGCCACCAGGGTGAGGCTGAGACCCGGGTGGGGGTGCATGGCCAACCCCCCTCCTTCCCACCCCATCTCCCCCACTATGCTTGGCCTGTGATTGGGGGAGGAGTGAAGGCAGAGGGAGGGAGGATCCCAGCCAGGAGAATGAGCATCTCTCTCTCTCTCTCTCTCTCTCTCTCTCTCTCTCTTGTCTGGAAGCTCAGAGGTTGGGACATGGTGACACGTGACGAGGCAGAAAAGCTCAGGTGGGACCACGAAGCAGGAGCTGGGTGTTTTATAGCCCCCGTGCCCCGGAGGTAGCACACACACGATGCATTTGTTACGTCTGATGGAAAGCCCCGGGCCCTCCCTGCACAGTCCGTCCCTATAAATAATCCCGAAGAGAGGCTTTGAAAGATGGCCCGCGCTGGCTCTGCACCTCCGGCAGGATGGCGCGTCCACGGAGATGACAATAATCTACCGATATCATAGATTTTTTCATAAATTATGGGACCGCACGTCTGTATTTTAATTCAGCGAGGCTGAAGCATTCCCTGAGATCTAATATAGGAAGCTGTAGATCTAATTCTCTTGAAGTCCCTTCAAAATTTATTTCCCAGCTCCATGCATTCAGGGCGTATATTTTTGCTTAGGCTGGCAGATGCGGGTTTTAATATTCCTGCATCGCCGCGGAGAAAAGGCGGGGTTGAGGGATGGGGAGGAGCTGTCAAGTTCGTGCGGAAACGATAGCTGGGGTCAAGGGTTAAGGTGAGGGGCTCTGCTCTGGGACTCCATCTACTGTGTAATGTGGTGTTTTCCTGATAGGAGGAAAGTCACGGCAGTGATGGGCTGCAGCTGCTTACAGCAGATCGGTGCTTGTGACGGTCAAGGTCAACAATGGTAACACAGGTCCTAAAAGGAGGCTGGGGGCAGGAGGGAGCCTGGGAAGTTTGAAAGGAGTGAGAGATGTGTGCGCGCATGTGTGTGCGTGTGTGTGGGGGCATGCTATCACTGCTTCAAGCAATGATTCTCACACGTGACGGCCTGTCAGACCCATGTGGAAAGACTTAAAGACCGCCCACTTACCATGCTGTCCCTCGGGATTCTGAGATGAGGTCTAGGCTCCCTTCTGCTCTCAGCCTCCTCTCCTGGCCTCCATTTAGGACCTGCATTAGCATTGTTGACCTTGATGGACCTCATCCTGGTCTTTGCTGATGGACCTCATCCTGGTCTGATGGCTGGTCATGTTGGCGCACCAGCTCCCCAAGAGGAGGGGTGAGGCTGAAAGTGGGTGTGAGGGCCCACCTGTTGGGATGGGATGGGAGGGGCATTCAGGGGCCGTGAGCACTGGGGAACTGTGTGGGTACACATGCACTTGCTTCATGTGTGATTCATGAGTGCTGATTTCTCAGTCCTCTCTCTGTGAACACCATCAGCGTGCACCTGCGTCCCCTAAACCAGCACAGCTCCACACTCACAGGAGGTAAAGACATCCTGGACAAACTATCGGGTCCATTGAGTGCCACGTGGGAAACTTGACCAAATTCCTCTGAAGATTCTTCTATTCTTTCCGAATCTTCTCCAGGTGCCGGCTCCGTCACCTGTTTCAGAGTGCTCGGCGGCCATGACAGAGCCCCACAGGCGGGGTGGCTGAGACCACAGACATGTATTGTATTTTCTCACAGCTCTGGAGTGGGGAGCGGGAAGTCTGAACATGGGGTTGGTTTCCCCTGAGGCCTCTCTTCATGGTTTACGGACGGCTGTCTTCTCCCTGAGTCTCCACCTGGTCTTCCCTCTGCAATGGGTCTGTGCCTAGGTTTTCTCTCCTTCTAAGGACACCAGAGCTACAAGATTAGGTCCAACCCCAGGACCTCTTGTTACCTTAGTCACCTCTTTCAAGGCCCTATCTCCAAGGACAGTCCCATTCTGAGATCCTGGGGCGGAGTTTCAGGGTGGAGCCTACAGCCTTGGCATCCTCCAGCCCCGCCTTATGTGGCTCCTGAGTCTCAGTATTCCTCAGGGTCCTTCAGTACTCGCTGCAAGCACCTATGAGAGTGAGGTGCCCTCGAGTTTTGTCTGCTACCAAGCAGTCTAGTCTCTCCTCCAATGGGCCTGGAACTGGGGTTCAGTTCAGTTGGAAGTGGAATTGGAGGTGGCATTCAGAGCAGTCTGGAGCTTTTGTCTCCTTCCCGCCAGGGCAATCCTGCTGCACAGCCAACCGTCCCTTCTCTGCACTTAATGTGCACACCTCCAGGGGCTCTGTCTTTCGCCGCTCCCCCGGGGTTCTGCCTCACAGCCCAGGCTCCCTCCGTATGAGCCTGGGTTCCCAGGGTCTGGCCTAGAACTGGGGTTCAGCGCTGTTGGGTCTGGGGTTCAGCACAATCGGAGCTTTTATCTCCTTCCCGCTAGGGAACGCCAGCCAGGCACTCAGCCGCCCTCCTCTCCGGCTCCATCCTCTCCGCGCGCCCCGCGTGTCTCCGTACCTTGGGCTTTTACAGCTCCTCCGCGCTTCCTTCTGGTTTTCTCCTTACTTCTCGTTGTAGAATTCCCAGTCAGTCGACTTTCCTGTAGTTCTGGGTAATGTCCATTTTATATTTTAGTTGTATTTTATTGAAATTGTTGTGTGTGGCTGTGGTTAGGTGTTTACCTGTGCAGCCATCTTGGATCCTCCTCCTGAATCCTAATGTTTTTGCTGATGGAGGGTCTTGCCTTTATGTTGATCAAAACAACATCTGGCCGAAACTGGTTTGGCTCAGTGGATAGAGCATCGGTCTGCGGACTGGAAGGTTCCAGGTTCAATTTCGGTCAAAGGCATGTACATTGGTTGCGGGCACATCCCCAGTAAGGGGTGTGCAGAAGGCAGCTGGTCAATGTTTCTCTCTCATCAATGTTTCTAGCTCTCTATCCCTCTCCCTTCCTCTCTGTAAGAAATCAATAAAATATATTTAAAAACAAACAAATAAACAAAAACACGTCTGTGAAGCGCAATAAAATGAGGTTTGCTTGTGTATGAATTTGGGGGGGATACAGTTCATCCGCCCTCTCTTCCATAGCCTTTCTAGCCTCCCCCCATTTCGTCCCAAACAATGGGACACTCTACTCAGCCCAGCCACAGCCCAGCGTGGGCACCTCCCATCCTGCCCCAACCCCTGGGAACTCCAGCAGCCGCTCACTGCTCCCCTTGCGTTAAAGAACAGTCTTTGTACCTCCCTCGGACTTTGACTTTTAAAGAAACCTCCTTTGCTTCTCTCCCTGACAGAATGGGGAGCTGTGACCCAGGGTGTGCTCCTTCTTCCGTCCACAAGGTGGCCCTGTGTGCTCTCAGATGCCTGCCAGCTGCTCCGCCAGGTGAATGCCTCTCATTGGCTCAGGGAGGCATGATGCCACGGGCAGCCCTTTTTAAGAGGAAAGCCAGGCTGGCGGAGCAGCGAGCCTCCCTGAGCAGTTCCCGTTCTGAGCTGAGCGGCAGGACCGAGCTGTGCTGAAGCATCATGAGCGAGGTGAGTGGGACTTCCCCTGGGAAAGGGGAACTTGGGGAGCGGGTGGGGGTGGGGGGTGGAATGAGGGGACAGAGAAGAAGGGACCTCAGTTACCTCTGAAGACATGAGAGCCAGCCCTGTGACTACGGGCTTTGGAGACCAGCCCTGTGTATGGCTTGCTGTGCGGGGCAAGTGCAGGGACCGGCTAAGTTTGCAACTTTTAAAAAATTCGCCTTAAAAAGAGAAAGGGACGCATTGTTGGCTTCCCATTGGACTGTGAGTCTGGAGAGCGCTCTGGGGCTGAGCCCTCCGCAGAGGAAGCCGATGGTTGGGGTCTCTCGGGAAGATCTGTGTTACTTCCCCCGGTGTCTGCTCAGGGGACAGCGTCCCGGGCAGGCGGCTGGGGCGCCGGCTTCTGGGGGGCGGGTGTGGGGTGTGGGGAAGGGGTGAGCTGCTGGGTGCTGCGGGGAAGCGGGGCTGTGCAGCCAGCATCTGCAGCTCCTCGGAGTCCCGGGAAGGAGCCCCGCGGACAGACGAGCCGTGAACAGGGCACGTGTCCAGGTGTATGGCTCTGAGACGGGGATGCCGAGCGGAAGAGGGACCATTCTACATGGAAGGTCACGTCTCTGAACACGTCTGCATGGAATCAGTGTGCTGGGCTCATTTTATTTTTTAGGAGACCACGCTCTCTTTCTCTCCCCCTAAGGGGGCGATCTGGGTCATGCGACACCCCCTCCAAGGGGACTCTGTGACCAAGATGGTCCGTGTTCACTTCCCTTCGGTTGGCGCGCAGACAATGACTTTGTGAGATCTTTCATCTTCTCTGTCTCTTTCTTTTTTTTTTTTTTTTTTTTTTTTTGACAGATGGGTGATCCTTTTTAGGAAGTCTAGAGTAAAATTAACAACTTCAGAAATAAAATGTGTCTCGGCCGCTTTTCTCTCTCTGATGGGTGGATGGATGTAAACATGACAGGAAGGAAGGAGCGGCTCACTGAGGAGATGTGGGAACGGGGTCTGGGATGGCGCCCAGGGCTTGCGGGAGGAGGAGGAGGGGGAGGGGAGCACGGGGAGAGGAGGGAGAGGCAGACACCCTTCCAACAACAACAGTAGTAACCACGGCAGCAGCTCCCAGTGGCCCCACGGCGTCAGGGCCCCGCTGGGCGTCCGGCTCCCACTCCTGTTACCTTATTTGAGCCTTCTAACAGCTCTGGGAGGCAGGTGCTCGTGTGAGTCCCACTTGACAGATGAGGAAACCGAGGCGTGGAAAAGTTCAAGGTCAACTAGTTCAAAGCTATCAGCATGCGGAAGACAGACCCAGGACATGGGCTGCAATGCTGGGCAGCTGGCCGCCAGGTGGATGGCCAAGTGCATGAGGGAGTCTCTGGACAGCAGGTGCCAGAGGAGAGAAAGGAGGAGGAGGAGAGAAGGAGGAGGAGGAGGGTGGGAGCTGGGGAAAAGGCGGTGGGGCTCGAAGCAGACACAGAGCTGTGAGATCCAGTCCCCATCTCTTGCATGCTTGGGTGGAGGGGCTTTCTGCTAGACTCCCTGGAGACTCGAGAAGGTTCTCTATTTGTGTCGGCTCACCTTGCCTGCAACAAAAGGGGATGCCGTGTGCAGTGGGTGTTTATGTACAATTTCCCGGTTTCATACAGAAGAAGGACTTGGAGGCGGCAGAGCCCCGGGGCTCCCTTTCTTTGATCAGGTCAGCTGCCAGGAACCCTCCCGACAGCAGGCCTCCAGCCAACTCTGCTCACCGGCGCAGTCACCACCTTCCTGCCCTGCGTCGTACCCAGGAGCCTTCCAGAATGCCCAGCTCCGAGGGCTGGCTCTCGTACGGTGGGTCCCCTGGGAGAGAGCCAGTGTCCCAGACCTCACCCCACGACTGGAGTCACAGCCTCCTTTCTGCTGTATGAACTGAGTGCCCCCCTGCCCCCCGCGTTTCACCAGAGGAGCTGGCAGGCGACTGCGAGGACCCTGCCTTTAATGTTGACAACACCCCACCTCCTCCCTTTGCTGCTCATTCACCCTTCCTTCACTCCTGCACCTCCTCCGCTGGCCCCCAGCCCGGCCCCCGGCTCTCTGGCCCATCTCCCAGTTTCTGGGGGATGGGGGTGCTCCTCAGAGAGCTGGAATGTGTCCTTGGACTAAGACTTAAATCTGCTTAAAGCATTTAATAAAGCTGAGCAGAAGCTCTTTCTGGGGAGGGAACCGGATCCCCTGTTTTCCCCCAAGCTTTTCTTCTGGGAGGAATTACACCGGGCTTCTAGTTTTTATAACTCTCAGGCAGGGATGGATTTCAGATGATTCTTGACTTACACTTGTGCCTCATGACTGCGAGGAACAAGGCACAGGATTTTGCCCGCCACCCTCTGAGTCCTGGGTTTATTGGGGTCTGCTGGGCAATGGATCCTGTGCCAGCTGTCAGGGTATGGTGCCAGCTGCAGAGTTCCTGAGCTCCCATGAGCCCCCTGGGGCCAGGCCTTGAGCCCCGCTGGGCAGAGAGACCCTCCAAGGGCCACATGATCCCCGCCGGGGTGGGTGTGGGACGCAGCTCTGCTCCTCCCCGTCTTCCCATCTTTAAGGGAAGGCGGGCAGGGAAACTGAGTGTGGAGCCGGCTTTAGGCTGGATGACTGCACCGCACCATGTCTTCTGCATCTCCCGTAACATCACTTCTCTGGGGGGAATGACAGGTGATTGAAGAGAGCAGCTCAAGTAAAGCGAGCAAAGTCAAGTCCAAAGTTAGGGTAACGCGAGGGAGCGGGGGTGGCTCTGGGGGCGTCTGATTTACATCTCGGCACTGGTGTCTGTCAGATGCGCCTGCAGCAGCTCTGAGCTGAGCGGGGAGAGGATTTCGCAGGGATCACAACGCAGGCTCAGGGCAGGAGCCGGATCAGAAAGCCTGGCGGCGGAGTGCAATCCACACAGCGCCCTCCTCTCCCCGCCGGACTCCCGGGCCCGGGAGGAGGAAAGCCCACTGTGTGTGGCCACCTCGCACGATTGGAAGACAAGAGTCCCACCAACAATGACCCCGAGTCTCTCGTCTTCGGCAGGGGTCTCTTCTCAAGTTGCTTTGCAAAGGAAGTTACTGAGGAGCGCGAGCGGCGAGATGTCACTGCATCCGTGGGGCACATCCGAGAGTTCATTTCCTAAGGAGGCAGTGCTGCCCTGGGGTGAGGGAGGGGGGCTCTGGCTGCCCCGGCACCGCTGACAGCTGTTACTTAGAGCGGAGGCCCTTGGGAGAGCAGCCTCCCGTCCTCCTGTTCCCCCTCACGCCGCCTTTCTCTCACCGCGTGGATGGGCTGCCAGGCTCATGGCCATTTCTTCCAGCCAGACAGCGGCCGCAGGAGAAGGCCTGCGCCTGTCAGAGGCGTGGTCTGAACACTCCACGGACGTGTAAGGGCACATCTTCAGACCCACACGTCTGTCCTTAGCACGGCGTCAGAAGCTACTGCTCATGCGTGAAATCGCTGCGGAAAGCTGAAGGCAATGCCCGTCATTGTGCTGGGCCAGCAGGGCTGGCTGGCCCCACTTCAGTCCTGGGGCCCTGGCGGCGGGGGGGTGGGGGGGGCACAGGAAAGACTCCATTTTCCCTTCGTCCAAAGTAGCCATTGGTTAAAAAAAATCACGTGACACTGGTCTGGGGGCTTACCTAGTTAGCCATCAGGGCAACCGGCCGATGAGACACACAGTAAGATGAAACAGGTCTAGAATGAGAACTGGTATGGGTGTGATAGTGAGCTATACACAGGTGGATGACGGGATGGGATGGTTAGGTCTGTGAGGAACTGTGTATCTCTGACCAGTTAAGCACAGATCCCAAGGGCAAACGGCACAAAATGTGGATTTTGCCACTGGCCCCCAAGGCCCGGCGACAGAGGTCAAATGACAATTCAATGTCTCGTGTAGCTTTAACCTTCTGGGGGTGTGATGCAGGAAAGATATGGGAAGATCCAGCAAAACCCAAGTGGTTTTGCTGTGTCACACAGTGATAGAGACTCTCTCTCCTGTACCCTGAGATATTGAGTCTAAAAAGACACCCATTACGACGTGGGTTCGACGTCTGACTTTTCCTAACGGAGAAGAGGCCTCAGTTAAACATGCAAATGTGTCTGCGGGGCTGACGCATACGGGTTGCCACACGGTTCATTCCCCGCATCCTGCATGTCATTAAGGAATGCCATGGGACTAAACGCTCATTGTTTTTCTTCTCGAAATTCTAAGAGTGCAAGATGTACTGTACATGTGTGTTTTCCTCCCCGGAAAGAGGGAGTACATGAGTTACAGCTGATTTTCTTAAAGGTTCGGTGGAATCGTGTGATCGTGATGACAAGGAGATGGGGGCTTTGTGATGGAAAATGCCTTGAATTCATGATGAGCAGGCTCCGCTGTTATTTTGTGAAATTCTCATCTCTGCTTTCAGGCTTTCTTCGAGGTGCTGTCCTCGGTGGAGGGTCTTGGCCATCTGTCTGTGGCTCGCCTCGCTCTTTGATCCTATGAATAATGTGAGCCCCACTCTGGGGCTTTTTCATTACCTTAGAATGACGTTCTGGAAAGGGCTTCCCACTGAGGGGAAAGAAGGATCTTAGGGAATGCATATGCACAGGTTTTTATTGTATTATAGTTGGCTGGTATTTGAAGAAAACACAGCATTAAAGATCACGCTGCTAGAGCATTGGCTTTCTTCTGTCCCTGCTGCTGTAACAAAACACCACAGCTGGGTCATTTATAAACAGCAGAAAGCAATTGCTCACAGTTCTGGGGTCTGGAAGTACAAGATCGGGGTGCAACATGGGCGGGTGAGGGCCCGTTCTGGGTCACTTGGTGGAAGGGGTGAGGGAGCTCTGTGGGTCTCCTTTATAAGGGCACTGATTCCATTCACGAGGGCCCCACCCTCACTGTCTACTCAGCTTCCAAAGGCCTCACTCCTAATGCTGTTACCTTTGGGTGTTAGGGTTTTACCATTCGAATTTTGGAAAAACATAAACATTCAGTCCATAGCAAGTATTATGGGTTGCATTTT